ACACATCGATTTACCATATCACTGAGGTAAACTGTTTGGGTGACTCTTTTCCAGTAGTTCCCCTGATTTCCTGACTTGGTAAATATCGTATTATTTCCACTGAAAACATTTAGAGTTCCCATATCTGATCCGTACATGTGATAGAAGAATTTTAAGCAACATGAAGCTTTATTTCTAGGCACCGCAAAGGTCAGCTTTGCATTATCACGAAATGCATGATACGAAGCTTCAATATAGAAATATTTTCCTGTGGAGTAAAATAAATGATGATGAAGATGATGGTGATCATGATCATAATCATGAATGTTAGGAAACACTAAGAAATGAGAGATCTTGAGTTTCCATCTGGAATTAAAATTAGCCTGACTAGCCTCGTTCTCCAGTACAAAATTCAAAAGAACACATTAACTAAAGCGAGGCTAGTCAGGCTCATTTTAATTTAAACAAAAGAATATTAATCTAGCAGCCATTTTCGCATTGGGTCCATACCATCGTTTACAACTCAAAGGAGTCTTAAGGGACTTAAAAGACCGAGCGCTATAAACATGACAACATTAATTAAATCCGGGTTATTGAAAAAGTTACTGCTCCTATCGCCTCTATATTTCCGCTACGTAATCTCCTATGTGCCTATTATTAAAAAAAAAAAAAAAAAGTAATTGGACATTGGCAATTTTGGACATTGGACAATGGTAATTGGCCATTGGGCCTTTAGGCGTATGGTACAATGCAATGATTTGCTTGAATGACCACCAAAGAATAGCTTCCCAATGCCTAAAGGCAACCTTTAGTGAATCAGCTATACACATGAACTAGGTTAATGAAAAGCCTTTTTACTGGAAAGCCACACCTCCCAAGTTAAAACAAACTGTGAACGTATCGCCGGCTTCTCAGCCTTCTCGGCAGTGTTCGCTTTGTGGGTAAAGGGGGTTGCCGTTTACACCTTATAATCTGTCAAAAATAACTATTTAGCCTTAACAAACTTAACGAATTAGCAAGTTAATGCCCCTACAGGAACAGTTTCATACTCAAGAACTTCATGACAGCGTAACTGTCACACAGTAGCGCAATCCCTCATTCCGCTTTTGTACCTTGTTACAACTATTAATATACTTCATAGTTCATTCCGTTTCTATATCGCACAGCAACCGAGTTAAATGCCTATAACCGCCAGTTTTGAACAGATAAATATCTTCTAAAGTTTTATCTACATTCAATGAATTTATTCTGATAATTATATATTTTCGTGAAGTAAACGAGAGAAAATGTTAAAGAATAAATTTCAAACGGCAGCAAACCTGATCCACTTGTATGATCCGAGGATGGTCCAGTATTTAACGAAGGTGTGCGGCCAGAGTACAGCGTCCAGTCAAATACATCCTGCCTCGACTGGCTCCACCCAGAGCACAATCCATTACCGAAATCACAGGATACTAGAAGCGAATCAGGTAAATAAACCATGTGTCATTTAACTTGAAGGATCGTTCCACGTATCAAGATGAATGATAATTGGCAAGACGAGTTGCACCGGAAGTGGCTGATTCACGGGAACCCTCCTTCCCCGCTCCCCTTACTGTTTTAGGCCGCAGCATGATCGGCCCACCCACCCCAACCCTCCCCCCTTTCCCCTTCTCCCCCTTAGGGTTGTATTTCCAGTATCGCGTAATTTTTACGTACTTACCTGCGTAAAATTTACTTGCGCAAATAAAATAGCGGCAATGTACGAAAGGTAGGCCAGAATAACGGAAGAGTGCGTATAAAATGAAAATATTCAGGTAAAGATTAGTGTTTAGGGTTTTTTAAGTTATAGCCCTCAAGCAGTCTCAATTGTGACAGTGAGTGGAAATTTGGTCAGCGGAGCTACGGGTACCAGCGCGCAAGGAAAAGTGAATTTCCACGCAAGTGAGCCGGTTTTATGGCTAAAAAAACACTGAGTATACAAATCGATTTGCTTTTACCTGGACAGTTTCCAATGTTTATTTCTACACTATCAATCGCGATATCCCCAGTGAATGAATTTCCTGCAATCCCCTCGAATATTACCTGCGGAAAGTGTTGAGTTGTAGTTACTAATATACCTGACATTTTCTATCTCCTTATACTCCCTTATGGTCGTGGCGAAGTTGATGATGATGATGATGATGATGATGATGATGATGATGATGATGATGGCGATGATGACAATGACGAGGATAACGATACGCTAGCTAGAATTACGTGCGCTTTAGCACACTTTTTTCTCTTACCAATCCATTCAGAATAATATTTCTCTCCACTACAATCCAGTAATTACTCTGTTGTCCGGAAATATTAAAGACTTTGCTGTTTCCGCTGTAGACGTTAAGAGTTCCTACTGAGGCTCCATACATATGATAGTAAAATGAAAGGCACGACATTTCTCCGTTGTTTGGAACAGTAAGAACAAGCTTCGCTTTGTCGCCGGGTCTTCTTGGAGAGGATGTTTCAATGTACATATAATTTCCTTAAAGGAAAGGGGAAGAGGCACATATAAGTAAATATTACTGTAACAGTCAACAAAGGACGATACAGTATGTTGCCCAGTATCCGGCCACCAAAACCGCCCTTATCAGTTTTTGGTAGACAAAGTATTTCGAATGGAAGCTGAAGAGTTCAGCTTTAAAATGCAAGTTTTGGCGGGTTTACGACCGGAGAAACAGTTGCAGAAGACGCCGGTCAGTTCAGCCGACTAAACTTTTCATGGCTAATATTTACGCTTTTTACTGCACAGTAAAACTAGTGGTGTTCAAATAAGGATTGGTAATATGTGATATTTTTAAAGAAACTGTTTTATATTTAAAGTGAAGATACTTAAAGAAGTCAGGTTGTCAGAAAATTCATAAATTCTTCTTGAAATTCAATTTTTTTGGAATAACAGAGGCCAGAAACATTCAATAAGCATTGATGTCAGGTGCCCAGTATCCGGCCAGTTTTTCGTTGCTGTGCAGAGTCGATGAATTGGCTGCGTACTATCCGGGCAAAATCTATTTCATATCTATAACAGTATACGTAGTTAAAGATATGTAATATAATCTGTATAATGTAATTCTACTCAACTCCTTATGGAAATTCAAAGGCGAATTGATTTCGTTGGCGCGACTTGTGTAAAGGGGTTGAGAGATGTGAAAGTCAAGAAAGAGGAATCAGTGGTAGAAAACAGCAGCCCAAATGTGGGGACTGAGCATAAAGAAATCAACAGGTCAGACCACAGGTGCCCCAAGCTCGAAATATAAGCATCGGCGAGCATCGACATTGTTGCATAACATTCGAAACATAAGGATTTGTATGGAAAAAAAAACACCTATCGTTTCCGTAACCTACGAAAATCAAAGGATTTCAACAAAAAACAGCTTACCTCACATAAAATGTGTGTTACGTCTCTCCCGTGTGGTCTATGGGCCGATTTATGGCCGTTTTATTGGTTGTACTGTAAACGGTTTTCCCTCTATATAAAGGTTTACACGTCTGAAGCCATCGACAGAACCTTGGTTTGAACTCCGTGTTACCGTTGAAAGATAGCGAAATGGCCTGAGACTCAAATCACTCACACTCAGGGTGGGAGACAGTCTCTTGCTCCCGTTGACATCAATACCCAAGAAAGAAACTTTATGTATAATTACGTTGTTATTGTCGTGGCCGGATACTGGGCAACATAGGAGCATTGCAAAAATATTTAGAATTTCGCGATGGAAACGAAGGCAAAAAAAACTGTCTTTCATCATGTTAAGGACCAAATAGATTGTCTCTGGGCCAAATTTCAGAACTCTTGTGAAGTGGCCGGATACCTTCAACATGGTACACACGTGACACACGTGACCGACTTTATGTTGTATTTTGCTGTCGATGTTTTTGTTTGTTTTAACAAAAAATGTGGAAAAAGAGTTATCTTTATTTTCTTACAGTTTGCGTTGACTGAAAAGCACATAAAAAATCTATATAAGATATAAACTGCTCATGCTATTTGATTACTAAAAGGCAGAGTCGTTAGCTGTTTACGCCCATTATAGATTAAATTTTAATTCATTGCAATATATGGCTACGGACAATTAATATTGTTTGGTAACAAAAATAATCCGTGTAACGTAGACTAAAATACACTTCAAGCCAGTGACTACGGGAACTTCGTTAAAGCTTCATTTCTTCTGTATTGAAGATGGATTTGTGAATAAGAGAAATTAATTGAACTAAATCTGACCTGATCCCCCTTGCCCAGAAGACGGGCCAGTAGATCCTGATGGTGTTGAACCAGACGAAAGTGTCCAATCAAAGTCATCTAAAGCGGATTGGTTCCATCCGGAGCATAATCCATTTTCAAATGTGCACCACACTAAGCAAATAAAATAAACTAATAAATTAACTGATGCATTCGTTCCTGTCCGTTCACCCATACATTAATTCATATATTTATTCATTCTTCATTCGTTCGTTCGTTCTTTCAGTCATCTATTTACTCATTCGTTCGTTCTTTCGTTCATTTATTTATTTATACTACTACGTGTGAAATTTCTGCAATTTGATTGGCTTAGAGCAGTGGTATTTCAGCTTAATTTGAAATACCTACATGTGAAAATTACAAACCTTTTGCAGGCAGTAGTACAAACAAATAACAGCATGATCAATACGTGATATTTGGCATAAATACCATTCATGATGTTTTAAAATTGTGTCAAATTTTCGTGTAAAAAAATTACGTATAAAAATTTCGAAATATCACTCGTGGTATTTATGCCAAATATCACTACAAATCATTATCATTATAGTAATTCATTTTCTCCCAAACATCACTAGTAAAATATATTTTTAATAGAGAAATCCCCAGCGTTTATAAAAGCAGTAGCATTGACAATGTTACGGTTGCATGTTTTGTTAGAGTCATTGAACTTTTGCCAGTAAAAAAACGTTGGCTAGATGATGACAGAGAGGGCATATTTAATTTCCAAGAAAGGGTTATGTAAGAGCTGTTTGAAATACTTACCTAACGCGGACACCGATTGGTTCTGTGGCGAAACAGCAGGCGGAATTGCTTGATAAATATGGTTGGTTATCCATGATTTCAGTTCTCTAACCTTAGCATATACTCCATACTTTGAAGCATAAGCACATCCGTGACCCCAACTTGTCACACCCTCAAGAAACCATGTACCGTTGAACTCACACACCAGTGGACCACCACTGTCGCCTTGACAAGTGTCAACTCCTCCTGCATCCAGGCCAGCACATAGCATCGAATCATCAATCTTTCCAGGGTAGGAGTTCAGACAACGTTGCTTGGAGACCAGTGGTATCTCAGCTTCCATGAGTGTATTTGGCTGGGACCCACCTGACGACAGTGTACCCCAGCCTGTTATCCAGCACTTTTTGTTTAAATTGTCAAAAGGGAGAGCGTGAAGCATATCAGGCAGGCAGACAAGCCCGATGCCTACTCCAAGATTTGCAGGTTTTAAGAGCTTAATCAGGGCGATGTCGTTGCTATAGCTCAATGGGTCATAATAATTTTCATGGCTGATAATCTGTAAAACCCCGATTTCCTGTTCTGTTCCAACACTGCTGGTTGTTCTGTAGTGAGCTCCCAACCTTAAAAAATAAATAAGACAAAAGTAAATACAATTCAAAATTAATATTTAAAAAACTATAGCAACTATAATAAACGACGACAATGGCGCTGATGATGATGATAACGAAGATGACGACGACGATGATGATGATGATGACGATGACAGCAACAAGGACAAGTATGATTAAATGCAAACGATCCTTAATAATGACTGTCCTTTTAAAACAGGACCAATGTGATCGTTGTTGATGATTAATTAATTAATTTAATTATTATAATTATTACAATTATTGTTTTTTTGACGCCTGATCACAGACTAATTAAAACAAGATATTAACGCGCCAGAATCCCACAAATTGCATGCACAGAATCAGAAATCCCAGCCTACTACTGCATGCTGTCAGGATAGAGAGACCCAATAATTAGAATCGTCAACATAGGGTCAACAAAATAATCAAGGTAAGCAGCAATTCACTCCAGAAGCTATGAGAAGAAGTGGGTATAGGCTTCCAGCGCAACGATTTCTAGGATCATTTGGGGAAAGGGGGAGGGGGGAGACGACCGTTGCTTGATGACTGGCTAATGATTGCCCTGAATACCACGACCAATGATAAATAAAGCTTGTCCACGCAAACAACCCCAGAAATTACTTTGCCCAAAGCTTGTACCTATTCTCCCCGGAGTTCCTAAAGTGGAGTATTATTATTCTGGTTTTGAAATAAATCAAGCGTAACTTACTTTACTTTGATAGAAGAGGGCGATTTTCCGCTGACACAATGTGCAGCGGTCACCACCCAATAAGGGTCTACTAACGATCCGCCGCAAAACTGGTCTCCAGACGATCTGATCAACATCACCTGCCACGGCCAGCTATTAACTCTTGCAGCTGAACCACCGACAATTCGACCACTAGCGCTTGGTCGAGACCCACAAAATACTATATGAAATAGAAAAATTAATAAATAGTTACATACATAAAGTTTATTTGCGTGTCAAGGGTATTTAGCTAATGAAGCTAATTGGGGAAACTACATTGTAGATATAAAAATAAATACATTTAGCTAAAATTAAAAATTCACAGTAAAACTATAACCAAGAAACTATGTACTTATATGTAATTAATCATTCATAAAACAATGAGTTAATTAAACTTTCACGAAAGGCAAGCCAGGCAATTACAGCTACAATCAAGAACATTAGTAATGTACGATGTCCATGATGCGAATCGCACTCTTAAAAGATTGTTTGATATACAACGAAGGTCTTTTCGTATCTTACACTAAAGATAGGGTAAATTTTTATTATTGCAGAAGAAAAAGGCAATATATTTCTCTGATTCCATTCGATAATTTTATTAAAAAACCTAGTAGGTTACATGTAAGTTGTGTCCGGCTATGGTTTAATATCAGCGAGCTGAGGGTGAGCTACAGTTCATTTATGGAAGTGGGGCTAAAAGCAGGGAATATGAACCTTCGTGGAGCTTACTTCCATATGAAAGTATCTTCTCAGTGCCCAAGGATATTAAATCTGGATGAGCCTTCCCTTTTAATTTCTTCGATGGAATCATAATCTTTTCAAACCAAACTTTCCGCATTCGAGCCGGTGACGTGACCGGTCTTGAATTATAGGTCAGCTGGTGTTTAACAATGACCCTGATCCCGGCAACATCATTTACTTAATGGGGCCCAAAAAATTGATTCAACAATTAGTTATGCCAAGTACCAATAAGCCCTTTGCTGCTAGTCAAACGACGATAAATATATTTCCTGAAGATTATCACCTTAGCCATTACATTAGCACAGTTGTTATTAGGGAACCAAGGCATGTCATGTCCTTAGGTTAAAATCCCTTCACCTCAATTTTCATGTAGCAAGAAACAGAATTCAATGCAAAATGTGTAGTTTACCATAAGTGGTGGAAGCCAGACTTTCACTGGTTTTGTAGGCTTGTCCAGTCTCGTCAATTCCATACACACCAATTCTGTATGTTGTGGATGGTCTTAGCCCGGTGATATCTTTAGTTGTCGCACTTCCTGGGACAGTTTCTACAGCTAGTAAATTTCCCGCAGGACTATTAATAAGAATCAAGTAAAACCTGGCAGTCTGGCCAACGTTCGTGCGAAGCGAAGACCACTGAATACTAAAACCAAAATAACTGGACATCAAAACAGTCACATTCCATCCTGATAGCGGTAAAGCTGAAAAAAAGGTAAAAATAAATTAAAAGGAACAGAGATTACTCGTATTGGCATATTTTATCACTTTTTTACTCCTGAAATACCACGTAATATTGCTTCTCTTCCATCGATCCTGAAGCACATGCGCGTATCATGCATAAGGTCTATTCTACCCAGTGCCCAGTTGTTCGAAGGCCTATTAGCGCTTAACCTGGGGTTAAATTCAAACCAAGTTTAATTTTCTTGTTTTCAAAAGCATTTTCTCGGATAATTTTTTGTTATTTTTAGAGCTTCCAATCATCAACTTGTAGACAAATAGACTTAATAATGTAATAACATAGAAGATTGTAATTTCAAATTATTTGGAAAACAGTCGATGTACCAGATGGCATAAGACCCAAATATTGTCTATGGTCTATTTGTCATGGTCTACAATATTTAGCTCCTTCAATTAAGAAACAGTAAAAATGTCTGTGACTAAAACGTACCTGAATATATGCTGTTCTTCAAAATAGCAAACTTGATTTTCACGCTGCTTTGAGTATTTCCTAAATAAACTTGAATTGAGATGTTACCGGACGAGCCAAACTGTACATCCAACAAATTCTCTGTGGTAAACGGTACGCACCCTCTATGGTTGAGAATCTGGTTACCGCCTCCATCAATGATCTTCACATATTCGCTGTGTGATTAAAACATGACAATCACATCGGCTAAAGTGTTCTGTACACTAGCCAAACTTCCTTGTTTGCAATGCTAGCACAAAGTTCGCAGTAACCAATGGTCAGGAATTGCGGGGGTACATTTGCGTTTACATGTGACTACTGATGCTGTGAGTGAATAGTGAATATGTACGTGAAGAATCGAATAAACTTCTTTTAGTTTCAGTATCAACAGAGGAAATCACCCCGGAATCATCAAGGCGGAAATTGAATTGAACAACGAGGTAAACAAGAGTCAGATTGAGTTCGACTACTTTACTCAAAAGGACAAAATTTCGTATTATGTGTGGATGTGTTTACGAATCAAAATAACGAACAAACATTGCTCCAGATGTATCAGAAAGTTACCTTATTCTCGAGATTACTGCAGGGATATCAGATAGACCTTCAACTTAACACCAGGGCCTTTGCGGCCACATACCCGGCATATTTGTTGGAAGAACAAAAACATCCCAAGACTGTGAACGAATTTTGGAAAAACCCGCTTTACATCAAGAAAGTGCCGCTGACCACCCCACCAAGAATACGACTGAGGGCACGCATTTTGCTCACCCAAAATAACAATAATAATAACAATAATTAGGAGTTAGGAGTTATTAAGAAAGGTCCAGAGAAGTTAATCATTGAAATGTCAATGAAACATCAACCTCCAGGAAATCAAAAGACAACATTGTTGAGAATGACATATTTTACAGAAGGTCCTATCCATCAAGTGCTGGAATTTGCATTTTGTTAGCCAGTTCTAGTACAGTAAAAATGTCTTGACTTTATACCTCTAGACACCACTTTTCTTTTCCAGTAAGATTATCATCTGCTATTCAGATTCACAAAGAGCTGCAACTTATTTCCATTAATTTCTTTTCTTACGAGAATTTATGACGTCACTCAGTTTACCTGCAAGAGAGGAGATTTAATTCTTGTACGGAAACCAAAGCCACCGCTTGGGGTATACTGGCACTTAGTATGGTCCACTGACACGTTTCATAGTAGCCGCTTGTACTGTTAATGTGAATATTTCCATACGTACCATTTATTGTCCTGGAGCAACCTAGAGGGGAAGATTTCGAGAAAGACCTTCAATGATGATCATGAAGTGTAAATATTTTATTTTAGAACAACAAAACAGATTATATGATACAGATTTACTTCATATAGGTCTAAGCAGGGCTACTTACAGGGTGTATGGATGTAAGAAAGCACATTATTTTTAAAATTCTACACAATTCTGCAAAATACTGAGTGAAACACCAAGAGTTGCTACAAATTCATGTTTTACAATTCATAAGATATTCTCTATCACTATCACGACCACTATCATAAAATCATTATCGTTATCACGGTCTTTATTACTGTTATGATCATAACAATGACTACTCTTATTGTAATTGCTATTATTACTACTATTATTATAATGAAATTACTAATAACTATTATAACTATTATAATCATTATTAATATCTATTACTTCCATTTGAAACTTCTTGGATATGCAATTTGTGATAAAAGTTAATACTGAAAAGTCACAACGTTTCAACCTCTTTGAGGTCATTTTCAAGTAAGAGTAAAGTACAAAATTAGCATAATTAAATATGATTTGTTACAATTAGTAAATGCAGTGAAAACTATTATTTTGTATTTTACTCACACTTGAAAATGACCTCTGAGCAGTCGGAAACATTGTGCATCAACTTTCATCACTAAATATTTGTTTATTTATTTAAGGAAAGTGCTGGGCAAAGAAGCTAAAAGTGAATATTTTTAAAATTCTAGCTTTCTCTCACTTACATCATATTTTAGAAAGCATGCACGCTCTTACCTCCAGATCCTAGTCCATAACATACTACTGAAGCATCTTCATAGTGACCGCAGTTATTGATGCCCCACCCTCTATGCCCACAATAGACAATTGAAGTTTCATCGCCTTGGCAATTTACATCATCCAGCCAGATTCGACCACTTCCAGCCCCGAATCGGGCAGACGTTGGAGCACTAATAGCACCAGGATACCCAAGCTGATGGCAAACAACACGCGCATCATTTATATCCCAGTAATCATCACAAACTGTTCCCCACTGGTTATCATAAAATACTTCAACTCTTCCTTCCGAGCTCCTAGATCCTCCAACCAGTCTCAACGCTGAAATAATTTTCAAGAATACATGACATTTAGGGACGGACCATTAGGGTTGGGAATTTTTGAGCAGCAGGAATTTTTTTTTGTTATCAAATTCCTTGTATGAATTTTTTTTAGGCCATAGCATGAATATTTTTTAGGGTTAATTGGGGTGCAAGGATTTTTTTTCATTTAATCTTTCCTTGCGCGAATGTTTTCTTTTGTACTTCACCACCCCCCCCAATAACTTTTCTAATCCGTCCCTTAGCTCTCATACCACTTTAAATCTTTCTATCTATAAATATGTTTTGAATAATGCTTTTCCCTGATTTGGCTTTGAATTAAGGATCCCCTGCAAAATTATATTGTAATGTAATTGTAATTGGTTTCCGGGGTTAATTGAATTAACCTCACCCATACATGTAATTTCATTATAACTACATTTTATTGCACATAGAAACGACAATTCACATTGTCTTGTAAATATAACTTGCAAATATGTTTTGCCGGTTGTTCCTTATTTGGTACTGCACATATGTTTCAAATAAAAGATGGATTTATTCCCACTGAAGGTTATGTACAATTTGATTTAAAATTTATTAGTAATAACTTAGAAGGCATTTATTTACCTTATCAGTAAATTTCGCTTGTCTTTTCTTCATCAACATCTGATAGCTTGGTTTAGCTGGATATTTTTTCGATTTGTGAAATTTACGGAGAATATAGGACTGCCGGTCACTTAGTGTTTTGAAAACCTTGACCGGCAGTCGAACTGAGAAAATAGTTCGAAGTGTCACGAAGCATGGTTTCGTCGTCTTCTGAGCCCAGCGTAAACCAAACGCTAGACTTGGGATCTTTAAATAAAAGCATTTCAAGATCGCCTGACTTTTCTTAATCGACATATGATAATTTAGATTAGCTCGTATTTTTCGATTTTGTGAAATTTACTGACAACATAGGACCGCCGGTCATTTAGTAACCTTGACCGGTTACCGGCCATATAGCCAAGTACAGCGATGTAAATAATTAAATCGCAGAAGAGGCTCACCTTTGGGGGCCCTGTCTCACATCATTATATAGTTTCGTCCTTCAGCTAATTAATTTTGTTAAAATACTTGGCAGCTAGCAAGTTTCGGTCAGGTGTGAGGAATAAGACTTTCCTTTCTCGGCCACAATATTGCATTTCGTCGAGAACGATGGTCAGAATCCTAAGCCATATTATCGAGGATACTGATGCCACTCTAAAATTGTTCTGTGCTTAAGGATGAAGATTTGTAACCGCCATTGTCAAGGTGGTCATGGTCATACAGTAACGAATAAGAGAGCCAAAGTGGTTGAGGAGAGACCTGACTCAAATTTACCTCATCGGTCATCCGCCATTTTGTTGACGGTTTTTGGAAGAGTGGAATCTGGAACGCGGGAATCTGGAATTGGCAAACCTTTTGCGTTTCACCACAGGCGACCCAAGCTTTGTGGGAGGTCGTTGGACTTTTGATTTAGAAGAGAATGTATGAAAATAAACAAAATGCGTCCTAAATTCCATGTTTTGGCAAAAAGTTAAATTAAAATGACTCACTTTGTGTTTTTGTTCTATGTTATTTACCGCGTGTTTCTTGATTTTCTGCTAGAGCCATTTGGAAGCCGTTTTGCCGACGTTTAAGGTTTTGAGTTGTGCTAACACTTATTTCTTAATGTTAGTACAACTCAATATTGGAGAATCTTTCAGAAGACTGGGTACTAAAGTAGCTGTAAGGAGTAATTATAGTGATTTTATTTAGCATAACCATAATTTAAGAAAAAAAAAGTACATTAATTCTTACAGAATATTTTTTTAAATCCCTTTTCAAAGACCCAGCCGAAGGATATTATGTTAATTAAGGGTGCCAATGAGGTTAGCAGTTAACTGATATTTGGCCTAAAAAAACAGTAGTCAACTGATAATTGGCCACAAAATTAGTAGTTAACTGAGAAATGAAAAGTTAACAGTTAAGTGAGATTCTATCAATTATACTGAATACGATCGTTAATGTTAATGAAAGCAGCAAAGTTTTCCAAACAGAAACGCTATTTTCTGACTTTTTTCTGTCCCACTAATAACCTTTAGCTAGTGGCACATTAACTAATATTAGTATATGCAAAAAGGCACCAGAGCAGTACCCGGCAAACAGAAAGCGTCAGTCATAGAACTGGTTGTAGACAACTCAAAGATCGTCGTCAAGTTAAACATTGCTAACCAAAGAAAAAAGCTGTGACTCTTAGCCGGCATTGGATCTGGCCAAAAAGAGATCAGCGGTTTTTTTTTTAAGTACATGGAATTTTTACTAACGAATGTAGACAAAGTCTGTATCGAGGTACAAAAAACTCTCTGACAACGCAGGTGGAAAACCTACAGGCGATTTCTCACTTCAACACAAAGCATTTAGTGCTTTCAACTACGCCCAAGACTTTGGAACCACAGTGAAAGAATCGCTTAAAATAACTAGGAATTCGAACTGGGCTACACTCACAAAGAGTCGAATTGTGCAGTATCAAATACTTTCAAGGGTTTTTCAGCAGTCTCAACTGGCTCTCCCATCGGTTCAAACAGTGACAAAAGAAGATGAAGTTGGGATGGGGGTGGACTGGATAGAGAACTTTCGACCTGTTTGACAGCAAACTATAACAAGCCAATCAACTCAAGATAAAGCGGGATCTTAACCACCAGAGTCACGGGACTATGTCATGCTATTTGCTATCTTTTTTAAAAACTAAAAAGTTTTTTTTTTTTAATGCATAAATTGAATGCCAAAAAATATTGGTCTAGTTTTGTTATTTTTGACATTGATATTGTTTCCCGTCGTCTGTCTGTTGCAATGGATTGCAAGGATTGAAAATTGATTGAAACTTAGGCAACAACAAGATACAGGATATACAGCAGCCAGTTAAGTACGAGAATGATTCAGATAATGAACTGAAAGTGACAAAGAAGGTGACATTTAAGAAGTTTGTAGCAGGACATATGCATGACCAGGTTGGGAAGATCAGTACGAGATCAAGACCGGTGCGTCTGGATGTACGTTGATGGTTATACGACTCAATCGCATTTGTGCTCACAGCAAAAACTGGTTAATAGTAGTCTTAATAGCTATCGCTTACCCATTTTTACTACTTCGGTAAGATAATTATGTTCTTTTAATTTCTATATTTTCAGTTAATTATAAATGGTACTATAGTGGCGGAGTTTAAGTGAATTCATGTAAGTTTAAACCTGAATTTAGTAGGGCCTACCCCCAAAATTGATTGACGTGCTGAAGTAAAGGAACTTTGGGTTGTGACGGAATAATACGCGCTGTAGGAAAGTGAAAGTTGATAGGTAACTAGAATTAGTAGTTAACTGAGAACTGGCCAAAAAAATAGTAGTTAACTGAGAACTGAGTACCCCCATTAGCACCCTCTTAATTAAAAAGACTATCCAAAACCCGTTTTTTCATCAGTCTTTCAAGCAAAAACTTGATAAGAATCACAAAAATAAGAAGAATAAGAATATATTATAATAATAACACAAATAAAAGTTCACAGAGACTTACTGTTTTGCGCGTTGGACAGTTGAAGCAAAGTGACAACTAAAACTGAAGTAAATAAAGAAAGAAACAGCTGTTAAACATAATCTCTTGACGCTGCTTTATTTGTTGTTTACCAGTCTTCACCATCACAACCCTCTATAACTTGTAAATCGTATCAATCCGAATAATTAATTTTAATGTTTATGCCGTATTTGTATCTGAATAACACGGCTCCAAAAACCAGTATTTATAGCGCTTAAAGTAATATCTGTCCAAGATTACGGATATTAACTATGAAGATGATGGCAGGACTACAAATTTTTGAATAAAGGTTGAATAAAGAGAGTAGAGGTTGAAGATTTATTTCAGGCCAGAAGGTCTTATTTTGACGTTCTGTTGTCACCAGCGGTAGACAAAGTTTCGAGTCGATCGATAGTTAATAATTAAAGGGGTAGTTTATAGAGAAAACTAAATTGCGGTCTAATAAAAAGAAGTAACTTGAATATGGTTTGAGGAATAAAGTTAATCGAATTGGCACTGATCATTTACATGATAGAGATAGTCAATTTCTATAAAAAATAATAGTTTAGAAACTTTACAAATGTAAGTGTAAGCAAGCTCTTAGCTCAAGGGCAATATGTCTAAGAAGGCCTTGGAGACAAAAAAGGAGACCCTTGAAATGCATTTATAATCATCTGGAGTGCGTCAAACTTGAGAATTCATCCGTAAGATTTCTATCTACCCAGGAGCCTATTTTAATAATTGTGGTAGATTTTTCACATATTTGCACGCAAACGTATTGTAGCTTCAAACACAGCAAAAATTTATTGGCTTGCCTTTTTTGCTTCACGTTATATAACAGAGCTGTGTTTCACGCTATAACAAGATTATGGAAAATTTTAAAATCAACAAGGGCGCAACCCCATATATTACACAAAGACTTTCTCCTACACCACATGTACAGCAACTCAGAGTATGGAAAATGCCATTTTAGGAGTCATGCATATTTCTGCCATGTTTGGGCTCGATGGTGGTAGTAGAGAACATCGATCATCAAGCAAAACTGAGAAATGCCTACAATTTTAATATGCGCGCTAGGTCAGGTGATATATGATTGATCACACGGCTAGCATATGACTTGTTGGGTGCTCTTGGTTGTCGACATCAACTGGGCGGCAGTTTTGACTCCGCTCGCTTGTCTTAGTTCAAAGTTCAATTATAGAGAATGACTGAGTCTACTTGCATACACCTAAGTGACTCTCTTGGCTTGTTATCTTCGCGGACAATGATGGCAGTGGTTTGGTCCGTATACGCCTCCGACTAAGCATTCATTTTAGTTTTTTGCTTGGCTCGTTTGCCTACGCGGCAGTGCATCAACGCGCTGAGCCAGATAGAAAGTTCTCCACGTTTATTATGGATTGAAATGGCCTTGTATAATATTTGTCACTAATAAGCGGAAGAGTTCTCTTACGTGGCTTCTGTCTAA